TTCCGAATTCCATCTTTGACAATATCCAATAGGGACGATCCGACTAAAGTCTCATCTTCACAAACATCTATCACAAATGCGATAATCATCTTAAATCTACTGCATCATTAGAAATCAACATGGTTAGGAATATGAAATATTAACCGTATCAATTATAAGTATGGTTACTCACATGAATATTTTTTTTAACTCTCCTCTCGGTTTACACTTCCTTTTCTAATAAGAATAATAATAATTCGATAAATTTTAAGTTACTGCGGCATATGTCATAATTGTGCGCAGTACATTATTAGGTAATTTCATTATTAAACTAATTACTGCGGTGATAAACTTACAATAATAAATTGTCTTGCTAGATTAGCTCGAACAAATTTGAGATATGCACAGCTATTACCATATATGGAAAAAGAAGAAAATATTAAAAAAATTTTTCTTTAGGAAAAAGAAAAAAAAAACGGTAAGACTTTTAACCATATCCATAAAATAAAAAGACTGTGAATGAAAAAGTTGATTTCGTTTTCTTTAGAAAACGAAACTTTCCCATTTTCAGTCACCCAAGACTTGCCTTATTCTTAAGAACAAGAATTTTGGGTTTTACAAATTGAAGGAAAGAAGAAAAACCGAAGAAAAACACTGGGCGCAAAAAACGTGCCTTTTATAATTTTTTGGATCTACTCCTTGTATCACTTAATCACGTGATGTTGCGTAATAGTATGATTTATATACACTTTAAAAAAGATTATTTATACAGGAGTCGAGCCTGAACCCCGTGTCTAGGCTAAATTTGTTCTTTATTTAACCTTAATAAACTGGGCTTTGCGTTAAAAACGTAGACCCTTATGGTCAACCTTCATGTTACACTGAACTAACAACCAAATTGATCGAGTACCAATTATTTTTTATAAAATAAAAATCCTCGATCAAAAAGTTACCACGATCACATGATTAGATATTGTTTTGTAGATTGTATTAAATTATTATTATAAATTTCTAATTTCTAATAATTTCTAATAAAAAGATATTTTAAAAAAAATTTTATCTTAAAAAATAATGCCAATTTTTTTTTTAATAAAAAAAAATATGTTAACTTTGGTGGAATAAAAATAGTTATTAATAATAATAAAAAGAAAAAAAGAGTCCGTTCCCTCTTTATCCGCCAACTTCTATCTCTTCCATTGGTACCATTTCATATCTATCTCTATCAACGTCAGCACTTGTTTTAGTTTTCACCGCTGCACTGCTACCACTGGCGCCACCACCAGCACCTTCTCCTATCTCATCATTTAATAGAATTGGTTCCATCTCTTTTCTCATGCAATAAATTTCACCACCAAAAATCATGATACAACATGTTGTTGCATTTAAAGCCCACCATACAAATGTCGTAGGCATATGACCGGAGTAATAAGTAGTTATCAGTAAATGAAAAAAATGTAAAGTTAAACTAAAATCTAAAACAAGTCTTGCGCGCTGAATAAGTCGCACGAGGAGATATATTCTAAATGTAAAATTTTAAACTAATTGTAAACAAGATAATTGGAAATTCAATATTATAATATATAATATAATATAATTGAATATAACTCACCCAACTATAGAATTTGCTATCCATGCAAACCCTATTGTCCATCCTAAGACTGTGTCTGCCCTGAACTCTCGATAGTCTAATAAGTGGTCTAATGTTATATCGGTTCCTGTTACTAAAAGAGTGAAAAGGGTAATAAGAGAGATAGATGTATAATATAAAGTTTGCAAAGCAATGATCTAAATAAAATGAAAATTTGACGAAACTTGTTAGTTTGAAAAAAAAAGCCAAAACCATTTCGCTCCTTCTGAGGCAATAAATCTAAACCTATTTTTTACCTGAGAAAGGATGAGAAGTGGATCCCAAACCGTTGTTCTAAATGTTTGATTTCTACGCATTGAAAGCTTTAATAGGAGGGTTTTGAGTATAATAATTAAACAACTAAAATTGAACAATTTTGTATTTAGACTGGCAGTAAACTTTAAATTGCGGTCATGTGAAATTTTAATAATCTATTTATAGATATGCATGCAGATATCACAAAGTAATTTTTTTTTTTTTTATTTTGTTTACAAAAATCATATATATATATTTTTTTTAATTGAATTAATAATTGTAATGTGCCGCAGAAACCATTAATATACATACATACTCTCTCTTTTATGATTCAATAATGATGTGATTTTTAAGTATAATTTTACAATATCCAAACAAGCTTAAATCAAAGTATCAAAATCCTCTAATCCTTTATCTAATTTACGTGGTTTTGACTTTTAAATAAAATTGATAAATATAAACGAATGATTTAAAATAGATCCAAAATTATTATTAAATTATTAAAAAAATTTGTTATATGATATGTACCGTTTGAATGGATTGTCGTTCCATGGTGAGTTTTAACTCTTCTTCGATTAGAGAAATTTGATAACCTTCCCAATCTACTTTTAAAATATCTTGCGAGATCCTTGGCTGAATTGGTTGTAGACCAGTATTATCTTCTTCTTCCAGATTAATTAGCATTGGTAACTCTATTTCCTTTGGAGTTACTTCAGATGTTATTTCGGAGGTTATCTTGGAGGTCACCTCAGATGTTACTTCCGACTCAATTAATAATAATTCTTCTTGAATTGGTGTTTGTGAGATAATAGACTCGGATTTTTCCTTGTTGCTTTGATTTAATTAATTAATTATTAATTTGATTAATCATTGATTTAGAAATCAAAATCAAATATATGTATGTAATTTGTATAAAATAAACCTGTCTTTCAATGTTAAATCGGAGAACTTTATCGTAATCTATAAAATAATAAAAGAAATAAAAAAAAAATATTTTACGATATTCTAAACTTAAGAAAATTTAAACTTAATAAATAATTACCTCTTTTGGCAATTCTAAGTTCTTATCGTCTTTAGTTTGATCTTTCCATGATTTAGGTTCACTGTTTTTTGAAAACTCACATGATGATACCATAACCTAAATAATGTGATTAAATGAAGTATAACTAAACGTGTAAATTCACTTTAAAAAAATTGTAATTACTTTTTTAGCATTGTTTTCTCCTGGCAACCCATTATTTAAGTCTAAAGTTGAGACCTATAGGAAACATTTCGCGACAATGTTAAAACTTGAATTTATAATATGGTTTTGGATTAAAATTAAAGATATTACTTGTGTTGACGCGTTTTTTTTATCCCTTGAATCTGAATCGGATTCAAGGGTCTCGTATTTATCATGAACCCACGTCTGATCCGGCACGTTATTCGTAAATTCTCTTTTCCGTTGAACTTTATAATTATCCTAGTTCATATAAAAGGAATAAACATTTAGGAAAATGATTTCTGAGGATATTACATTTATGAAAAGGTAGGTATTTTTACCGGTTCATAACCATTGGAGTAACCACTGGATTGTGTTCCATCGTCATTATTCGAATAGGTTTTCCAATGATCCTTAATGTAGGAGGTAGATCTCGACCTTGGAGGATGGTAGATATGATTAGAAGAATATGGTTTACTATTCCAAGGGGATGATTCATCTTGGCAGTTTTGATCCTCATACTTTATTTCGCTATCATCATCATTTTTGCAATCGAAATCGGGAGAGGTTGAAAAATTCCGAGAAGATTCTTCCCAAATTGGGTCAACCCCAAATTGATTGCCTACGGATGTTATAAGAGAAAATAAATTATTGTTAAATTATTTCTTTCGAAAGCATTTAATAGCTAGAACTTACAATCATTTGATCTATCATTATTAAGATTATTATAAATTGGATCATGATCTTGATAATCGTCTCTCGAATTTGGCATAGTGTTACGACGACGAAGAGTCCGTGGTCTATTATCAATAAACCAAACACCTCTTCCTCTTGTACCTCGACCGCGTTGTGGTGGTTGGGACCATGATTCTCTTCTTGGTCTACGCCAAGGATCCTTAGACGATGAATCATCAACTTTATCAGGTTTTTCCTTAAAAATAAGTAATTTTCATTTTGTTAATATAAAAAAAAAATTAAAATTAGTCACTTAAGACAGTATTGTCTAAATGAAATTTACCACAGACTCTTCTTTTATACCCAAAGCCAACGCGTTCCAACTCCTATACTGAGATTGGTTACGAAATGCCATATTGCTTCAAAAAGTTTGAGTTTTGATAACAGTGGGAATATTCCTACTTATTTTATGATTTTTTTGGGGGATCATTTTTAAGGGACAGTTGCACTAACATAATAGTCGTCATAGTTATCACGTGTCTATTTGATGAAGATCATTCAATTCAGTAATAAGTTAAGCACGTAATAACGAGGTCTGGCTTATTCCTTTTTTCGTTACTTGATTAATCTGGTATATACCCTTTTGCTGTGTACAAAGCAAATTATTCACTCCGCAGATCAGTATTTTTGTTTTTTAAGGTTTCTGGGAATATTTTTTAAGTTAACCACCAGATTTTCATGCATTGGCACAGCATAAGTCAAGTCTGGCGCAGTATAATTTATTTTGGGAATCTGGTGTTTGGGGTGTTAGAGGAAGCATTTCGTAATTAGCAATATAGGTAGAAATAAAACAATTAGCTTTAGAAATTATTCGAGAGCAAAGAAATAATATGATGCTGGGACTTTTATAACATCAAATATTTCATTTGTTTTTCTACCATATCCGAACTATATATCTGAAAAATCAATAAAGTTTTAAACATTTTGGCGTTTAGTTTGCAATAGAGATTAGAATTGTGTAATACGTGCGTGGTAAATGGTACTAAAATAAAGATATATTATCTAAGTTGTGCCAAGCATTAAATTCTATCACGGTATATTATGTGTATCTGATACTATGCCTCGTGTAATGCGTGAACAATGAAAGTTTGATATTAGAGGTATAAAGTTATAAGGCAGCCATCTTATTTTCTCATTTCTGTTAAAAAATTTTTTTTTTTACAAAAGCACAATGTTTGCCACGAAAATTTATAATATAATTAATAGCCTCGCTTTTATAGACCATTCTACTTACTTTTATAAAATTTCTAGTGAAATAGATAAGTTCTTGATATTGCCAAAACTTGACTTTATGAGCGAGATTTGGTGTGACTTAATGTGACTTAACTTTTGATATATGGCATGTACTTCAGACAAAGTCCCGATCTTTTGTATGTATTAATATGTATAATACTCACTGATAAGTGTTCCTTCTGTATCTTAAAACACGTGATTTTTAATCATGAAGAATCTTCACAGTTGCACCTATTATGATGCGATAATGCGATAACGTATATGTTTAATGTTAAGCTGAGAAATAAAATTTTTTGATCGTAAGACGGAGTGAAAATAAATATAATGGCAATGAAGAGAGCAGTTATTTTTATTGAAATTTTTGGTATACACTTATTGATAATCTCCAGAATTATGCATATGAAAAATTAATAAAACGCATATTATTTTTTTAAATCTTATAGCTACAAATTACTTTAATACAAATACGAAATATATATTTATCAATGAATTACTGCTATTAATGGTTGACGAATATGTCCTACAATAATCGATTATAGAATTTTGACTCTCTTTATCCAAGAATGCATTCAAATGCTCGCGAACTATATAAAATATAATAATTTTAGAAAAATCTTAACAGGAAAATGGGTAGGAAAATTGGATCTAGAGCTTTGACCGGAAAGAAGATAGGAGAAATTATAGTCGAAACAGTGGAAGGGACATTTTGATAGACCGTTAAGAAAATTCATCTAAGAAATTTTGTATTTCCATTTTTTCAAGCTTATTCGACCCGTAAGTAAATTCTTGAATTCCAACTCCACATATTTTTCGAGTTCCTGTTGAAAAAACACATCCAACAGCATATAGGGACTTGTCATGAAATTCCGTATGGCAAGAATAATATTCATTTGTAAATATTTGTTCTATTGCTTCTTGTATTAAGTTCCTGATTACTTGATCATTCGATGTTTTTGGTGGAATGCAGCGCTTGTATTCAAGATAGTAAACGGACATATTTGTCATTATCCACATATCAGTTCTGCCTTGACTCGTAGCGTCCTCACTCCGAAATGGCAATCCAATATAACGCACTAACATATGGACACGCGAATGGTAATAACCCTCGTAATCTCCTGCATGTTGACTTTCATTATATGGGATAGATGCTAAATCATCATTAAATGCTCTCATAAATTTAATACAATTATCATTCTTGAGAAGTTTTGCTAGTGTGTAAATTCGTTTGCATGCAGTTTCTATTGAAGTGTTATATAGACAAGCCCAGAGTTCGCTCATCAATGACTCTTTAACTTCGGCATTTGGAATTTCGAGAACTAAACACTGTTCGTCATCATCATCTATTTTCTGTTGTTTGATAGTTAAATAGCCAGTTTGGAATAGTAATGAAGCGGGAAGGTCAGATGATTTTTGTATATCATCAACATCAACAGGTACGACTAATCTCTTCTTTATCGTGATTTGATCTACGATATTCTTGACATGTTCCGTACCAATCAATCTAGCTAAAAATTTGGTTTTCCCTTTTTGAATCCAAAAGTTTTCATATTCAAAATTCTCAAAAAAACTGCAAATGCTATATGGGTTATACACTTTAATGTTGCCGTCCCAGGAATAACCATTGTATTTTTTCTGAAGTTTATTCATAACATCTTGCACATCATTATAGCGATCTGATTTGCCGAGATTTAATAGTTTGTCTCCAAACACTTTTGTTATCTCATCACTTGTGAAACCGTATGCCCCAGATAATTCATTACTTAATGTTACGTCCTTAAGGTTATTTAATCCTGAAAATAAACCTAAATGTGCAAACATTGTTACACCCGTAACGAGAAGAAATTTAATTTTACTTTGTAGTGCCTTAATTACTTCAAAAAAACTCTTTAGTACGCCGTGGCTGTCATTTGCAATATATGTGCTTTCTTTTGTGATACCAATGACATTTAATAGTGGTGAATCGTATTCGTCTATGAGAATTACCACTTGTCCATACTTATTTTCATTATCGTCAGCTAGTGACTTAATTAATTTAAAGGTGGCACTCTTAACATTATCATTCACGGTGTCGATGCCATATTGCTCTCCAACCGATTGTAAAACTCGAATCAAGTCGTTTTCTAACATCTCTGATCCTTTGTCCGATGTTAACAAAGAAAAGTCAAGCCTGATGACTGGTATCGGAGGCAAGTTCTCGTTCCATCTCTCTGTTTTATTATTGACAAAAATGTTTGGTGGATGATCTCGTATGTATAGATTCTCAAAGAGATTATATTGAACCAAGTAGAAAGATTCAACCATTGAGAGAAACATTGATTTGCCAAATTTTCGAGGCCGTGATACAAAATATTGGCCATTATTTAACCGAAGCCGAGTTAACCAACACGTTTTGTCTACATATAATTGATGATACATGCGCATCCTTTGGAACTCTGATTCCGACACAGAGACCTGTTGAACCTCATTATTACTTTGAATAACAGATATTCCTTTAGGATCTATTTTCCAAAGGCGCCTTTTTTTCATTGGTGGTTCTTTTGTGAGAGAATGGGAAAAAATGGAAACAGAGAAACAAGCTGATTAATAAAATATCCGCGACTTGTTCGAGAGGTAAACCATTGAGAGACACTTACCAGCGGTGGGCTTTGGTGGTTCCACGATGATGTGGATATGATTAGGTGTAAATACATGACCAACTGGAAAAATCGTTTTAATCAATTCACCTGGGCTCAAATCTTCACCAAGTTCTTGTTCAAGGTCAGTATCATTACAAAAATTTTCGTTAAATCTTTTCAAATCCTCATTATCTTTTTTGAAAGGGGTTTCGAACTTCCATAACCTAAGTTTATTAGCTTCATTGTTGTTGGGCCATATTTGTTTCTTGAGATGTCCAAAGGAGAACTTTTCAATAGGGACATCAACTCCTTCAACGCGGGTCATTTCGCCAATGTCAACCGGAATAGAACTATTAATAGGAGTACCTAGAAGGTAGCAATACAACGTAATGTCGGCCATATATCTGCAAACGTGTAAAACGAGAGTTAAAGCAAGGTCAAAAAATTAATTTTCAGTAATATAAAATAAAGACCTTTTTGGATTTAACGTTGGACTAGCCCGGGACGGCGAAAGTACTCGAAATAGCGAATAGCTCGACATTTTGATTATTTATCATATATATATATGTTTCCATAAATGGTTGTTGACTAATTACTACAAACTGTGAGTCAGACTGGAGTCGGCAATATGTCAAGAATCAAATACAAAAATTACGAAAAAAAAAAAAAAAAAAAAAACATCGAAAATCAGCTACACATCAACTAATAAGTATATAAACACCGAGGAAAAAAATTTTTACTATTGAAAAACAACCTGGAAATTAACCCTAGTATGAACGATCTTTTTTTTTTTTTATGAAAGGGAGAACGAAAATATGCTAATATTAATAAGAAATTTATTATAAAGACGAAAGTTTAATTATAGTACTATAGTTTAATGCCGTAAAATCTCTAATAACTTGGGAATGGTTCGGAAACTATTGTTAAGTCTGGAACGATCTTAACTAAAAAAAAGCCAATCAGCATCGACTCAATTATTTAGCGGGCGGACATCGGGACACTTTGCTAGTCCTTTCTGATTTAATTAGTTGATGGAACACCCCAACGTCACGACGTCATACGAGAGTACGATCAAAATCGTTCAGTTGTCGGCGAAATTTAATGTTCCGGCCGGACAAGACATTACGCAAATAAGGTATGAATATTTCGGTTGTGTCTGCATTTGCAAGGAGAGCTAAAGCATCGTGGTTTTCTAGAGTGCCTTTTAAGTACTGCATGACTAGATGATCCGGTAAATTTATTTGAAACATGGAAATTTCGTGATTTCTGTTAACGGTATAAATATCTTTTAAATTGTCTATATGATGGGAAGAACCCGAGTTTGCTCATATTTTATCAATATTCCACCTGAAGATTGGAATATTTCCGAGTTTTACGAGCATCGACAATAAGAAGACGACTTCACTGGCTCGTTCCGAAAGGAAGCTTTTACACTTGGGAAATCTCTCGATTATCTTATGAAAGACGGCTCACCTGAAGCAAAGTATTATGCTACTCTTTTGGATAAAAAGATCAGGACAAGTATTGTGTTGTCAATGGCTTTAAAAAATGGTTTAGAGCACTCGCTACGACTAGGAGAGAAGTCTATGAACTGTCTCTTTGATGATCTATGTACTCATTGTAGTTGAGTCTTTGTAATCTTCTATGACTAGAAGAGAAATCTACGCGCTGTTTCTTTAATGATCTGTGTTTGTCATAGAACTTTTATGAGGGGAAATAAGCTCACATAGCTATGTAGAATACAAATTAATGCATGTATTATAATTTATCAATTTTTAGTAATTATTTGTGCATTGTCCTTCGAAAAATGTTATGCCGCCTCCTCAGATGGGGTTGTGAAACTACCAATCACTGAAAGTAGAAAAATCAATAAATCGCGACGCGATATAAAAAATAAGCATATTACTGAGATTTTATTTTAATTATTTTTTTTTGTTCTTTCATTTTTTTGAAAAAAAATGAAATAAGAACGAAACACGAAAATGAAAAGAAAAATTAAACGAAAACTAAAAGAAATAAACTAAAAAAAAACAAAAAAAAACTAAAAAGACAAACGAAAACTAAAATTAAAAAGAAAAAAAGAAAAAACTAAACTAAGATAAAAATGAAAATGATAAGTAAAAAAAAATAACAAAAGACAAACGAAAACTGAACAAACGAAAAAGCAAAATAAAAAAATAAAAAAAATTAAAGTAAAAAAAAAATACAAAAAACAAAAGAAACTAAAAAAAAGAAAATAAAAACAATAAAAAATGAAAATGATAGTATAGAAACAAAAAAGAAAAAAATAAAAAAAAAGAACACAGAAACGAATGAAGCAATTGAATGAAGCTCTTTCATCTCAAAATCTGATGTAATAAAATAATATGTAATATCAGAAATCCTTGGTTACTATCCCTTAAACTGTAGAGGTTCGCAGGCAAATTTGCCTGCTTATTTACTATAAATTCCCTTCTGATTTACTT